AAAGTACGAAGTTTCAAAATTACCACATAATCCCTCTCCTTCTTACCAAGTGTACCCCCAAACCTCTATGTCTTATGGATCGATCATTAAAAATCTTGTATCATATTTTGCCGTATAGTATATTTCGTATCCTCAGCATATGCTAACAAAAATATGTATATATACGACCCATATGTGACCCACAGATATGGTTTGACTTAAGTTTGCTAAGGTTGAACTAAATCGTGGACTCAGCTCAATCTATATGTCATTTTGTGATTTTCGACCAGATGGATTGAACCACTTTAGTCTATTCTCACACAGGATATGTTATGAGCAGATATTGTTAGATGTGCGAAGTTTTCAGAAAATTTGGCACTTAGTTCTCCATTTATGAAAACTATTTATTTTCAAAATATTGACCTTTTGTGGGAGAAATATTTAATCCCATTATTATATGGTTGTTTTCAAAATTTTGTGGGGAGATACACGTTTTAGATTTAAGCGACATTATTCACAGGAAATGTTTCAAATTTGTATTTGAAGTCCATAGTAGATTCTACAGAAAATTGTCCGTGCAGATTCACTTCTTCGTATAGCACTCATATAACGGTAACTTCCGATATTCGGTATTTCGTATTTAAAATTCGGAACCGTTACTACAGCCTACGACAAAAAAATACTTAGGCAGCACTATGTTTTTGTATAGCTTCCACATAAAAATGTTTTCATTTGAGCGGTATTTTTAGGCGTTTTTTTTTTGTTGAAAAATTACAAGTTCCTCCCTTATAGAGTAGGGTATACAGGGCGAAATAAAAAACCTGCAACAAAGTCAAAAGCCATAATTTTTAAATTTTTTTAAAATTTTATTGAATGAAAGCAAAAATGTCGAAAATGGCATCAAATTCTAAATTAAGTTTGGATTCGTTCCAATTGGTCACCTTTGGCACGAATTATGGCCTTCAAACGGCCATAATTCTGATGTCACGGTCGATTATGACGGTCGCTATTATGACGGCCCGCACCATCACCATGGCCTTGAGTACTGGTGGCCAACTGAAGGTGCACATTTTCATTTGACCTCTATGGAAAGTCAACACGTTCATTTGTTTAAAAACTGCTGGACAACGAACGTTTTCTCATCGGAGTAAAATAAATTCGGCTTTCGGCCAAGCGAAGCACCTCTTTAGCTCTTTTGAGTCTATATTCCGTCTGTAGCGGTGTATGTTCCTGCACTTTTTGGAATTTCAATGGCTTTACCCCAAGCTCATTTCTTCAATATTTGCCGAATGGAATATTGCGATATGTTAAGCTCACGAGCCATTCGGCCACTGTGACGCGGGTTTCGATCATGTCGCTTCTTAATTTTCGAACCATTTCTGCTGATGTTGCGGTTTTCTTCCATCCACTTCCTTGATGACAAGCTAAGCTACCAGTATCACGGTAACGAGCGATGGTACGAGACACAAAAGATTTATTCACATTTAAATGCTGCAGTGCTCCAACGATAGCCACTTATGGTTTTCCAGCCAAATAAAAAAAAATCACACTATCACGCTTGAATTCCATCACGAATAAAATTTTTTTGGAAAATCCTCATCAAACTGCTTTTGTACGCTTTTAAACAATATAATGAGCTGTCACTGGAATAATTTTAACAGCTGTCGGACGAGTGACTTAGAAATGACAGCAGTCTGAGGTTGGTTGCAGTTTTTACATCTCACCTTGAAGGGTATATAAATTTTTAAAATTCCACTTGGAACTGGATATATAGCATCAGAATCGGAGGTACCTCCAGAAAATTCAGTTTTTGAATGCACCTAAATATTGATCGATTTTCGACCGATTTCGTTTAATTGATGCACCAAACACAATATGTATGTTCGATTCCAATGTAATTTGGAATAAGTGACGGAATTTGGTACATAAATAAATTTGTCAAATTATATTGAAATCGGTTTTGATTTGGATAAAGCCTCCACATAAATTTTCGTCCGATTTTATGTAATTGATGCACTAAACACGATATGTATGTTCGATTCCAATGAAATTTGGTATGGGTGACGGGATTTGATCTGGAAACAAATTTGCCAAATTATATTGAAATCAGTCCAGATTTGGATATAGCTCCCAAATATATTTTCGGTCGATTTCATGTATATGATGCACCAAACTCGCTATGTATCTCCAATTTCAAAGAAATTTGGAAAGTGTAACGGAATTCGGAACAAAAAAAAAAAGCAAAATTATATTAAAATCGGTTCAGATGTAGATATACCTCCCACATACATTTTCGTCCGCTTTCATGTATTTGATGCACAAAACACGCTATGTATCTCCAATCCAAATTCCTATCCTATATTTACTCGAATACTAACTCTAGGTCTGGCATAAAGATAAGATAGAACGGACAATTTCTAATAGTACCTCCGCCACAACGGGTCACATTTATGAAAATATGAATACGAATTCAAGATCTGCTTTGAAAATGGTATATAGCGTACCATCCTCAAGTATTCAATATTTTGAATACTTATGAGGCTTATGACATGTCGATTTTCTTAAAACTTAATATAAATCAATATTTTTCCCAACTACACATATATAAGATATATTGGTTCCCTCCTTTCGGTACCTTCCCCACAAAAGATTAATATCTTGCATAATTGTAACTCTTATAACAATTGGATTGAGTGTAAAGATAGATAGAATCCAAAAATGTCGACCTCGTCTCATAGACTCCATTTTTGACTCGAGAACCTTGGTTAAAATTTAACAAAACGTAATATTTGTATCAGACTTAGCTGGATAATAGCGGCCTATGCCTTCCTCTCTCTGCGAGTAGAAATTCCGATCTATCACATCTTGCATAAATTGAGCAAAGAATCAACGATTTCAGGTTACCAAAACTCCTGAGAGGATGTGTAGAATTTAGTCAAAATCGCTCATTGGAGGATAGGTTTTTCAATGTCATGCTTTAAGCATTGTTTCATTATGTTACAAACATATCCTCGAAACCGAACATACGTTATGATCTCTTAGCTATTCATGTATGTCTATGCTCAATAGAATTCCGCATCAGAATTCTACGAAAATACATCTTTATGATTCTTCTTTTCCAGTGGCTTGATTAACTCATTGCAAATTTCACTAGCCATGAGAATTCAAAAGCGTGTTCAAGTCAATAGAATAAGAGAAGATCTTTTTGCATGTTGCCGCACAACAACAACAAACAAAAACATATTAACAGGCATACGAATGGTCAGCGGACAGACATTCATATGAATGGATGGATGGACGGACCAATGGATGGCCGGTCCATTTCTAATGCCAGCATTATTTGCTTCAAACACAAGCCTTGCAGTGGCGTTATTGTTCGCTTTGTATTCGGCCGGTTGTGGTCTCTTTAGAATATTTATAGAATTTTTGAACAGAGACAATGTCGTCAGAGTTTATTTTCATTTCGTAGATTTCCGTTTGCTCTGCTCGCCAACAAACAACTGGCATCACTTTAATCATACATTTGAACTTATGTCGGAACGGAGCAGAGCCGAACAGAACAGCAGATAAATATTATGACCATGGAATAGAAAATTATGTTTATTCGCATATTATTGTGAATGAGAAAATTTTGCACGAAGGTCATGCCTATATAGATATGTACGTATAAAAGATGTACGCAAACCGTAGAGATGCTGCTCCAAATAAATCACGTTTCATTGTGTTTACGTTGAAGAATTTCCAAATGTCTATTTGGAGAGCATAAAATATTAGCTTTCGAATGGGCTGTATATCTAACAAGTAGGTATATATTTGTGAATTAAAAAATAAATATTTACTCGGTGAAATGATGGAAACCTCATGAGCCGAATAATCCTTTACATGGTAATGCAAACAAACTACATTATGTATTGCCAGTGGGTTAGAAAAATATGGTTTATATCCTATAAAAATATAAAACAAAACTAGTAAGGAAAGGTCGAAAGTCGGGCGAGCCAACTATATGATACCCTACACCACTACTCATTTTTAGTAGAGCTCCCGTAACAAAACAGTTTATATTGGGAATTTATGTAAAGTAGACCATACCAACTCTGAACCGAATAATGGGAGCTGTAGCTATATATGAACCGAATTTCACCAAAATTTGAAGTACTTACTTCTTAAATTTCGTCGGAAGTGCCAAAATTCAGTCCATTTGGGCTGATATAAGCCATAAAAAACCAAGTGGTCTCACAGGAGGACATCAATATTTTGTTAAGGGCGTGGGTTACTTAAAGTATATTTTGTCAAGTACTAAATCACACAAAAGACTTAGATTTTAGATTAGGATTTTTTAAAGGATACTTTTTTAAGGAATATGTCCCACAAGGGACTCATAGGAAGATATCAACGACATTTTGAAGAAATATTTTATCAAGACGTCGATTTTTTACAGGTTATTTTTTTAAGGACTAAGTCTCACAAGAGACAGAGACTACAAGGACTACTTGAAGAAATATTCTATAAAGGGCGTGGATTTTTAAAGTATATAATTTCAAGGACTTAGTCACACAAGAGACTCACAGGAGGATATCAACGACACTTTGAAGAAATATTTAATTAAAGGTGTGGATTTTTCAACAGATATATTTTTAAGGACTAAGTCTCACAAGAGACTGATAGGAGGATCTCAAGGAAATTTTGAAGAAGTATTTAATTGAGGCCGTGGATCTTATAAAGGATATTTTTCAAAAAAAAAAAAAAAAAATGGATGTCTTAAAGTTTCAATTCCCACAAGAGACCAAGTGGTCTCCCAGGAGATTTTTCAAGCACATTTTAAAGAAATATTTTATTAGGGGCGTGGATTTCTTAAAGCAGGTCTTAAAGGACCAAGTCCCACAAGAAACCAAGAAGATTTTTCACAACACATTTTTCAAGGACATTTTGAAAAAAAAAAATATTTTATTAAGGACGGGGATTTATTTAAAGGATATTTTTTCAAGGACATTTTTAAAAAAAGTTGAAATCGATTGACTTACCGGTGGTTCGCCATCATCATTCTGCCCTCTGGGTGTGCTGGATGGATTCGAGTCAACATCACATTTCAGTGAAATCTCAATGCCATCCCGCTGGCGAAAGCCGAAACCAGGGGTGCTTGATATGGCGAAGGAGGGGTATCTGTAAAAAACGAAAGAATACAATTATTTAGAGAAAAAACAATAATTTTTAATTTAAAATCTAAGTGAATATATATGAAACAACATTATCCATTTCAAAATTTGAAATATTGGCTTCTGTTCATTTGGGCTGATATTAGTGCACAATTAACCTGAAATCGGATTAAGTCAAACGCCATATTTTTTACATTTTTTTTAATTTTATAGAATGAAAGCAAAAAATCTCGTTATAGCATCAAATTTTATAATAAGTTTAGATTTGTTCGAATCGGTCACCTTTGGCACGAATTACGGCCTTCAAATGGTCAATGAAACCGTCACACGCTGCCCGAATGTTGCTTTGCGGTATTTTGGCCCATTCCCGGTGAAGCGCTTGCTTGAACTGATCCATACCTTGGTATTTTTTAGTGCCAACCTTGCTTTCCAATATACTCCTGACCCAATAGTCCAACGGATTGGTATCCGGAGCTTTTGGTGGCCATTGTGTGCTGGAAATGAAGCGAGGAACATCATTTTGTAACCATTCTTGGGTGGCGCGTGCTGAGTGCGATGGTGCTGAGTTGGAATGTCGAAGGTCTGCGGCCAAAATGTTTGCGTGTCCAAGGTTTTAATACACCCTTCAGAATATTTTCGCGATAATATTCGGCATTTATTTTGTTGGCCACGGTCGATTAAAATGAGCGGAGAGCGAGCATCGGCTGTCATGGCGGCTCACACCATCACCATAGCCGGCGCTTGAGTTCTGGTGGCCAACCTAATGTGCACATTTTCAGCTGACCTCTTTGGCAAGTAAACACTGTCATTTTGTTTGTTTACAAACTGCTGGACAACGAATGCTTTATCATCGGAGAAACCCAAATTCGGCAGTTCACCACTTTCGGCCAAGCGAAGCAACTCTTTAGCTCTTTTGAGTATATTTTCTTTCTGTTAAGGTGTAAGTTCTTGGACTTTTTGGAATTTCATTTTTCAATATTTGCCGAATGGAATATTGTGATATGTTCGGCTTACGAGCCACTTTTCGTCCACTGTGACGTGGGTTTCGATCAAGTCGCATTTTTACTTTTCGAACCATTTCTGCTGATGGTGCTGTTTTCTTCCGTCCACCTCTTTGACGTCCGGTTACGCTACCAGTATCACGGTAACGAGCAATGGTACGAGACACAAAAGATTTATTCACATTTAAATGCTGCAGTGCTCTAATGATAGTCAATTGTAGTTTTCTTGCTAAATATAAAGAAATCGCACTATCACGCTTGAATTCCATCACAAATAACTTTTTTTTGGAAAATTCTCACCAAATTGCTTTTGTACGCTTGTAAGCAATATAATGAGCTGTCACTGGAAAACTTTTAACAGCTGTCGCACGAGTGAGTTAGAAAAGACAGAAGTCTGAAGTTGGTTGCCGTTTTTTCATCTCATCTTGTTTATGTGGGATGTATATCCAAATCTGAGCCGATCTTGAGAAAACTTTAGACACTTATTTCTAAGCTGTATCTAATGTCTGGTACCAATGATCGTAGTTGTGAAGTGTATATTACGCATGTAAAAGACTTAAAACCCCAAATCGCCCTAACATATATATGGAAATTGATGTACTTGCATCTAGACTTAATTCGGTCGGATGTGCCAAAATGCAGGTCATTTGGACTGATATTTGCAAAGTTGGAACAAGTTCGAATTATTCCTACTCTTTCTCTGCAGTAAAATATTTTTTTTAAATTTCGACCATTTGTGGAGAGTTACCTGAAGGAGTGGGGCGATATTGCTCATCTTCGAACTCGAGAGTTATCGTGCGCGCCAGCCAGACAGATAGACACCCCTAGATCGACTCCAACTGACCTGCAATGGATTTGGTCTAAACAGGCCTAAGGTCTAAAACCTTTATTTCGGTGAGGGTCTGAGGGTATAAAAATACTTTGGATACATTCGGACATATTTTCCAAAGTTAACATTTCCTAGTGGTGGAGGGGATCAGTATTGTGGCAGGAAAAGTTTAGAACCGACAGTGCATTTAGGGACATTAGGACGCCAGAATAGGAAGATCGTACAATTCCTGGGTATATGATAATTTTCCAGAAAAAAGTTTAATTTCATTGGCCACTATGCCTTTCAGGACAATTCTGCCGGTTTAATATTGGAATAGTTGAAAGCGAATGCATCAGAATCGTCCAGCCATTCTTTTTTCCTATTCTTATTGTAACTATAATGGTTAGCTCTCTTCGTGAAAGGGAGTAGGGTATAATATAGTCGGCCCGCCCGACTTTTGTTCTTTCATTAATGCTTTTTCCTTCCTTATTGTTTAATAATATTTTCTTAACTTTCTTTTTCTTTTCAGGTAAGTTCCTAATTTTTGCTTCCACTTAAAAGTAAGTATTTCGTAAAAAGAGTGGATCATTTCGACAAAGAGAGTATCTAAGAATAAATGAAATATTAATTTTTCAGTTAAAAGTCAACAAAGATATGTCATTTAAATTGAGAGACTGAAAATTGTTTTTGCTTAATTTTCGAAAATCAATATCAAATAATTACATTTATGAAAAGCCTTAGTAAATCAACAACGATCATTCACATTTTCTGACAATACCATTGTGCTACAGATATGCCACAGATATTAAATCCAAATCAATTCACTTTCACTTGTTTGGTTTTCTTTTTTTTTTCAATCTTCAAATTTGTAGTACCAGATCATCCATCTGTTGAAATTAAATCCAGTGGTTATTTTTGTAACCCTCTCTCCTCACCGCCTTGCATCGGTTGCAGATTATTTTATTATTTCATTGCCAGCGTTGAGAGACGTCAATGAGCTCTGGCTCTCCTTTTAACATTCCTGTGGATGTGGTTACAGAGATTTGTGTGTGGTTACAGAGATTTGTGTGTTATTTTAGTTTAGTTATGGCCAATAAAAGCCATCAAACAAACAGATAAACAACAACAGCAATCAATTGAGTTTTTGTATCTGTTAAATGTTTTGTATCAATTTTTGTGGTCAATGATTATTTACTGGAAAATATTTCGATATGCGATCGATGGAGAAATGTGGATTTACAAAGACAGTTGAGATAACTGATAGTATGTACTATTATTTGTCAAAAATATAAGTCAACTATATAAATTTGTCGATCATAGCATTTTTCACAGGCCTTTGTATTAACCTTATAGTTTTTATGATGCGATATAAATATAATATCCTACGACTACATTTGACCTATTATAAAAATATAATAAATACCAAACTATATTATCTTTTCAGGATTTAGAGATCCTGAACAACCCGATTCTGTACAGTATATCGAACCAAAGTTTTCTAAACATAATACTTTTATATAGCCTGCCTTCGTGGGGACTTGGGATTTTCTTCTCTAGATATATCCAAAACCGGCTACGCGAACCAAAGTTTTTCTAAATTTAATATTGTACTGTAATAGGTACTTAAACCTGGCCTTCGGCCGGGGTTTGAGATTTTCTACTTTAGGTATGTCCAACTCTGGCAACACGAATTAAAGTTTTTTATACTTAAAACATAATTTCAATATACTAAAGAGGATCGGGTTGACCGGGTTCAAAGACCCATTCATCGGGATCCAGGGAAGATCAAACACATATTGTAGTATTTTGGATTGCTATAGCACCAACTATAATTTGGCACACATAGACTACTAAAAGTGAGCCTTTTTTAGACTTGTGATATTTTTTGAAAAATCCCACTCCAAAAAATAGATAATTTTGATTGAAGTCTCGAATGTTAACCCCATCGCAGTTGCATAGGTATGTTCTTTAGCTTTCGTATATTGTCCACATAGGTTTAGTAGATCCAGATGTAAACCGGATCCGCGTCCTATGAAAAAAAAAACTTTTCCAGAATCAGTGTACAAATGCCTAACTGGAATACGAAAAACTGAATAATTTCCATTGGAATTATTTTTTTTTATTTTTTTTCTAAAAGTTATCATCCTACTTTACTGTGCGATATATAGGGTAAGATAAAAACTGCAACAGAGTCAAACGCCATGATTTTTAATTTTTTTCTTTTTAATTATATTGAATGAAAGTAAAAAATATCGGCAATAGCATCAAATTTTAGCAACGAATTATGGCCTTAAAACGGCCAATGATACCGTCACACGCTGCCCGAATGTTGCTCTGCTGTATTTTGACCCATTCACGGTGAAGCGCTTGCTTGAGGTGGTATTGGTATTTTTTTTGTGCCAAAATAATCCGGACACAATAGTCCAACCGATTGGTATCCGGAGATTTTGTTGGCCACTGTGTGCTGGAAATGAAGCGAGGAACCTCATTTTATAACCATTCTTGGGTGGCGCGTGCTGAGTGCTATGGTGCTGAATTCTGTTGGAATGTCCAAGTCTGCGGCCAAAATTTTTGCGTGCCCAAGCCTCCAGAATATTTTTGCGATAATAGTCGGCATTTATTATAATGCCACGGTCGATTAATACGAGCGGAGAGTGACCATCGGCTGTTATGGCGGCCCACGCCATCACCATGGCCGGCGCTTGAGTTCTGGTGGCCAACCGAAGGTGCACATTTTCAGCTGATCTCTTTGGCAAGTAAACACGATCATTTGTTTGTTTACAAACTGATGGACAACAAATGTTTTCACATCGGAGAAACCCAAATTCGGCAGTTCACCACTTTCGGCCAAGTGAAGCAACTCTTTAGCTCTTTTGAGTCTATTTTCTTTCAGTTTGGAACTTCAATGGCTTTACTCCGAGCTATTTTTTTAAAATTTGCCGAATGGGATATTTGCGATATGTTCAGCTCACCAGCCATTTTTCGGCCACTGCGACGCGGGTTTCGATCAAGTCGCTTCTTTACTTTTCGAACCATTTCTGCTGATGTTGCTGTTTTTATAGTCCACTTCCTTGACGTGGGGCTACGCTACCAGTATCACGGTAACGAGCGATGGTGCGAGACACAAAAGATTTATTCACATTTAAATGCTGGAGTGCTCTAACGACAGCCACTTGTGGTTTTCTAGCCAAATGT